CCATCTTTTTCAAAAAAAATTTAAAATACTCCTAGGCACAAATAGATTTGTTAAAATCTATTTTTTTCATTAATTTTCAACCTCATGTGAATGTGTTTTGTTTTAATCATTTTTTATATGTTTTTCATATTTTAGTAGATCTTGTATCTTTTTTTTTTTTTTCGTACACTTTTTTGACCTCCTGGGACGTGCCCGATTAAAGCGGTTGAATCGGTCGGTTTATTGGTTAGGCCAGTTAAACTGCTTTCGGACCCAAGTTTGATTAACTGTTTTGGTTCAATTTTGCATGCACTAACTTAAAAAATCTATCGGAAAGACTGTTTTAATGTTGACAAGCCCTATAATTGAGATGTATGAATATTAAAAAAAAAAAAATTGAGTCCCAAAAATAGTACATCTTGTAACACATTATCTAAACTGTCCATTTTCAAGATTTTCATAAGTTTATAGATCTACTTGATTTCAACCACTTTTGGAGTTTAAAATTTTCTAATTAGATATGAAAATAGTTTTTAAGATAATCCTAAAAACTTTTACAACAAAATTACATGTTATGATAAAATTTGGAGGTGCGCCTTATTTGGATTGTTTAAGGTTGCAACCTTATAGAAACCTCACCCTTATCTAAATAATCTATTTTAAAAAATTCTTCAAGTATTTTTAGATATGCTCGATTTAGATTATTTTTGGAGTTTTGAATTCAATAATTAGGGTACAAATAGATTTTTATATCATTGTAGGAGTTTTGACACCAAAATTGCATCTTCTCACAAAGTTTGAAAGAGTCACTTTAAAGTTAATTTTCACGTAAAAACTTTTGATATTTTTTACCCAATCATTTTGCAATGTCCCTCTCTCAAATGGGCAAGCTTTCTATGCTTTCGTTATAGCATAGAAGTTCTATCCTCCCCCTTATTCAACCGTCCATTCTGAATGGAGGGCTAAGATTATCCCAATCACAATGTCATGTCTCTACACTATTTTATTTTTAATTTTTTTTATATAAACTAGTTTGAAAACAAAATTTGGATGTCCATTCCTCTATTAAACTTGCACTAGCAACAAATATAAAAAAGATATTTTCAATAAAATAAAATAACCAAAATACCCTAGAAAGCTTCAAGGGGTATTTTGGTTATTATTTTTATTGAAAAATTATTGTTAATATTTTTTATAGGTGCGTCCCAATAAGAAGATGGTACGTACCAAATTTCATATTCAAAAAATTTGTAATAAAAAAACTAAAAATAAAATACTTTGAGACGTTGGATCTAAGATCAAGCGGTGAGTGACTCTCTTGATCAAAATTGGATGGCTGGATGGTAGGAGGAAGATGAAACTTCTATACTATAGGGGAAGTGTAGAAACCTTTCCTCTCTCAAATACGTAGGGGAAATATAGAAACCTTTCCTCTCTCAAGCCCCTCTTTTGATATTTCCATCTTGGTATCCTAGGTTTTAGGGCAGAAAAAATTTATATAAGGTTGCAACCTTGAAATGTAGGATTACATTTGCACCTAAAAAATTCATCGGAGAATATTATTTGAATGTTGAAAAATCCTCCAATAGATCATCTCAACATCGAGATGTATGAATATGAAAAAGATATATATATTGAGTCCCAAAAATAGTGCATCTTACAACACATTATCTAGACGTCTATTTTCAAGATTTCCATATGTTTATAGATCTACTTGATTTTAATCATTTTTAGAGTTTAAAATTTTATAATTAAATATAAAAATCGATTTTCAGATGATCCTAAGAATGTTTTAAATTACATGTTATAATAAAATTTTGGAGGTACGCCTTAATTGGATTGTTTAAGGTTGCAACCCCTTTCTTAATCATCCGGATACGGCGGTCCAGTTTTGTGAAAATTATGCACAGTGACAATACATTTGATCGAACATGAGACCTCAAGCAGTTGCAATTCTAGTGGCGGCATTGATAATCACTACACCACTATAGTTCCCTCATAATAACATGTGAAGTTATTTAGTATATAGTAACCTTTTGTCTTTTTATTTTTTTAATACTGGTTGGACTCTGGCGAGTAACTCGGACTCGACCGAGTAACTCGTCTCGGCCAAGGGCCATGTACCTTGGCCAAGTGAAGTCCCGAAACACCGCCCCAAATACATTCCTAGCCTTTTTTACAGTGATGAGAAAGAAGGGAAAGTGGGTCTTACTTGGATTGGCGACATTGGAGCTTTTTAAGAAGTTCATTATTTCAAGCCTTGATTTTGTTTGTTGCGAAGAGTCTAAGGTTTTTTAAAGAGACTCCCTGTGTCCATTAAAAATATGAATATACATACTTGTCTTTTATAGAGAAATTACAAATTACAGATGAAAAAAATAAAAAACTAAATCACAGACACCTAAATCATACCCACACTTACCATATAATACAAATATTGTACCTACCCTTCCCACATCTCCCCCTCAAAGAGGGGTTGCAGTTTGAACACTAGTTGTGGAAAAGAGTAGTTGATCTTTAGATGCATACTC